AAGAGCTGAAAAGCTGAAATTTTGAGGGAGTGTTCCCTGTCCAAGTACAACTTAAGTATTTCAAATCCAGCCTTGAGGTATGCGTAGTTCTTACGTACGGGCACTTAAAATCTTGACTCATTATTTTGTCAGCAAGCGTTTTGCATCTCATAGATCAGAAAGTGGCCAGCGCATCGACTGCAGGTGCGAAGATTCGTTTTTTGCGTAGTTCCCCGCAGGTTTTGTCGCTAACGCACCGGTTTTTTCAGCAAATGCTTGTAAAAAAAAACTATAAGTTAAGTAAAGGAAGTAAAAACTATAAATTAAAACCATTATCAGTTCACATCTGAAAATCCCTCGAAAAAAGAGTCACAGTCCGACTAACAGCAGGCGTGATTGCAATTGAAATTAACTACAACTCAAGCTACTTTCGAGTGCCTTCGCCTTCCATGGAATGCAGGTCGTGGAACAATTTTTTGATTTTTGTGGTTTTTTTTTTTTTTTTTTATTATTTCAAATCTTTTAAAATCAGCTTTTGCGCTTACTGAATAATTTCCTGTCTTATAATGCCCACATATTTCAGGTACAATTACACGAAATTTATTGGTGGAATTTTATTATTGACAATGCATGATTTTAAAGCGCTCAATGGCATGTCCAATAAATACTGGGGTTGGGGCCTCGAAGATGATGAATTTTATCTTCGTCTCAGGTAACGCGCAATTTCCGTGTATATGAAACAAATTATGTTTCATCATAAGCGAACTATATGTATTATATCAATTATTACATAATGCTTTTTTATTGAGTTTCATTAAATTGTTACGCAAAAAATAATTTTTAAAGAGATACCAACAAAAATTTGTCGGCTGAGTTCGTTTTTTTTAATTTTCTTTCTTTTTCCAGGGATGCCAATTTTCTTTCATCTATGCAAAGACCGGTGAATTTAACAACGGATCGTCGAAATACATTTCGCCATATCCACAATCCAGTGCTTCGAAAGAGAGATTTTAAAAAATATGGCAATCAAAAAGAGGTATAATTTCCACGGAAGTTCCGCTCCTCCCTCCCGCTTTCTCACCCCTTCTTCTGTTCTCCTGTTTAATATCCTTCAATATCCCAGTTTATTTGTGGTTTGTGGTTTTGTTTGTGGTTTGTGGTTTTGTTTCGGGATTTTAAACTCGAATGCTTTTTATTAGTTAACAGCTGGACTTTTGAACATTTTTATTTGCTGAACAGCAGCAGCAGCAGCAGTAGCAGTAGCAGTAGTAGCAGCAGCAACTGTCGCGCATCAGTAGGTGTTATTCGGCTAAGGGATAATTCAATTAGCTTTTGGAAATGTGGAATTTTACGCATTGTAAAAGCAGTGGCTGTTAACGAGGATTGTGTTGTTTGGGACCGAAAGGCCTAGCGCGGCTGGCTTGTGAATGCATCCCAGTAACATTACTAACACCAAATCCTCATATTGGTAGCCTTTTTGATATTTTGCTTTTTTTGCTTGATATTTGTTTGATTTTTGGTTAAATTTTCCATTTGTTTTCCAGAAAATAGCAGAATCCTGTACGCCGTTACAAAGTGCAGTACTTTGGCCACATGCTGTTTCATCGTCCTTTTCTTTTTTACCTTCAGCTCATCTGACTGCTTCTTCATTCTCCTCTTTTTATGCGTTTTTTGCAGCAATGCAATGCAAAAAACGCATATTGGCGAGAGGTTGTCTGTGTGTCCATGTGTCTGTGAGTCTGTGTGTGCGTCTGTCACGCACTTTCATCTCCGGACCTATAAAAGCTGCGGGGTTGAATTTTCGGGAACTTAATCTACAAATCTACATGCACGTACCGCCCCCAATCCCCAAAATGGGCGCCAAAACCCGCGTAGTACCCGCGTA